GTCACCTGTATCTTATACATAGTTTTGAATTTTCAGTATTCAGCACACTGTTCACCTTTATTACATTTTTGCTTTGAGGGCTGTTTCATTTTAGATGCACCAGGCTTCTTTCAATTACCATTATTAAAACATGCAAAATTTATTATATTTTCAAGTATCTTTCAGTAGGATATTCCCCTGAGAGATGGGATCAAACCAATAGAATTTTAAATTCAAAAAAGGTTTACCTCGTGCACGGATTCATGGCAATGGCACGCTAAGAACCAGCCTTGGATTGAAATTGTCAGACATGTAAAGTGAAAACTGTAGTAGAGAAACAAACAGCTCAATATAACATGACATTACCTATATGAGAATGTTTCAACATACTTTGTAGTGCATGAACAGTTGCATTACATGCAAAGACAAAGGTCAGATATTGAGTAGGATAGTTTGTGATGACAATCTGCTTGCTAGAACACGACACTCAACGGTTGAGCACTAGATTCTTGCTGCACAACTGAAATACTACCTGTACAATCAAGGTTCATAATAAACGGGATGTGATTTGCTGGCTTTTACTTTGCAATCTGTCTCCCTCCTGGAATCAAATTTCTTTTTTTAATAGCCTGGCTGTGACAGTTCTTTAGAAAGATTCTCTCGTCCTGTTCTGATTAAATACGGCTAACAAACATGATTTCAGTTTGAGATGCTAATTAGCAACGTTTTGACCAATTATACGTTTTATCCAAATTACCAGACCATTCATTCCATGTTGTACATCGCATTCGTAGCAGCTTGACTTTTCTTTCAACAACAAAAAAAAAGGGCCATAGTATTATTTTTCACATAATGATATTGCGATCACAACCAATAAATAGAAAAAAAAAGATATTTTCTTTTGAAATGTGATTTCTATAAGAGAGGAAATAACATTGAAAAAAAGAAAGAATGCTTGCAACTAATGCTCTTAGTGTTTTTCATAGAAAGGTTAATTCATCTGTTTTATGTAGTTTATTTGAGTCTCACCGGAATCTGCAGTAGCGTCCATGGACATAAAGGTCAGATTTGCAACCAGGATAACAGTAATACAATATTCATTGTAAAAAAGACTCCAGACTCTTCTTTTTAAACATCTCCTGAGAGATTGGTGCAGCTGATAGCAATTAGGAGTGTTACATTAAAATTACAAATTGTATCAACAGCTCCTTATTAATATGCTCTGTCACATTTCATAGACTATTTACCTTTCTCTAAAAGCTAGTGAATTATTCATACTGAAAACTTCAAAAGTATCATTTCTTTCTCACTTCTCATCTTTATATATGTATGCTTTTTTGTGTTTAAATGACAGGTAGACAATGTTATTGTGCATGGCTAATAGCCCCCTCATTTAAGCTATCTGTGTGTCATTGCTGTCACCTTCAATCTGGATTTAACAAATTGCACATGATAGAAATCATACCCTTTCACTTAAAAATTATGATTCATACTGTTATTGTGTTATGACGAGTGATATTGTTTCATCACCCGATTGTTCTGCGGTTATGACTATAGAAAGGATGTAGCTTTTCAAACCCTAACCTTGCTACCTGCGCAAACAGCCGTTCAAAAGAAATTCACTTAGCCAAGCTTTTATGCTGTCTACAGAGGTTGCTAATATTTTCCACAAACATTTTATAGCCTAAAAGCCATATCATGTAGTGTTGTTATATTAAATTAGTGAATTAACATACACACCAGTTTTATTCACCCGAACTCCATCTAAAAAAAAATAATCAGATTGGGTTGTGAAATGACTCTTTTGTGTTCAAAATCCTTGGCATATCACTCAGTAGCTTTGCTGACTTGGCTAGGCTGATACACTGGCTTTTAATACTGTTTCCTCTGCACAATTAGAGTTGTGTTCTTGTTTTATTAATAGATAGAAATATACCATGATGCTATATTCTTCTATTGTAACAGGTCATATGTACATTAATTGTTAATTATATGAGCTTCTAAGACTCTATTTCCACCATATATGTATTGTGCTTTATGGTATATATTAATTAAAGTACAGGAACTCGCTAGTTATTTAGCTATAAAAAAAAAAAAAATATTACTGGCTACCACATTAACCTTTGTTCATTATTCTCCCTCCTACTTGAACAGGTATCTCTGTCTTTGATCGGATATTCCAACTACATGTCAGCTTACTATTTTTTATTAGACCCCCTAACTTTGTGGTTTCCATGCTTCCAATATTGATTGAATGTGAATTGATGCTTGGTGGTATATTGGCATAGTTGTCACTTTGTTAAATTTTCATGTTAAATTCCCATATATATAGCTTGCACTATCTTGATGTAAATATATTCGGCTCTGATAGAAAGGAGTACTTGAATTAGTAACAAAAAACATCATGAAAAGCCAGTAAGAAAGATACATCACATTCAAAGTAGCTGTACTAGTATGCACCCAATATACAAGTTTGTATTCCTGATTTTATAATTTATTCTGCAATTTGAATGAGGTCATTATTAATAAAAATTTATGCACATGATAAGTTCAATTATTTTGCATCAGTGGTCTTATCAAAAACAATATTTGGTACTCAATATTTTCTCATTTTATTTTTCTTTCTACAAGGCTTGCCTAATTGACAGTTGCTAGGTATTAAGTGCTGGTTATGCCATACACAGCAGTGTGTGTCATTCTCCATTACCTGTGACAGGGTGGCCACTGCAAACAACGCATTTTACAATCTGTCAAATATAGACTTAAACACATTTTGAATGAGCAATGTGTTATACTTGCCTCTTAATTAATATGTTGTTTCTACCTCTCCTGCTCACTCACCCATGCCTGCTCTTCTAGGTCACTGATCACCTTGGTTTTTGAATAATTCCAAAAAAATCCGTTGCTTAGTTACATTTGAATAAAATCACATCTAATCTAATCTAATAATCCTGATATTTAAACAATATTGCTTTGTCAGTCGTCAAATATAATCATAACTTAAAATAATTTGAGAATCCTGAGTTGATGTGGGGGGAGGTTGTGCAATCTCCCATCTGAAAGCATAATTTCAATATTGTAATAAATTTACAGGAAACTGTTTTTTTGTTATAAGAGAGCATAAACTTGAAATAAATGGGTGAACTGTTGTTTTAGCTGCTCATTATAATTTGTGTGTGGACAATCATAATTCAGCTGGTGGCTATAAATTGCAGTGTGATACAAACTAGAAAGTATGAGTGCTTAGTTTTACAGGTGAGCCTGCCTCATTAAAGCCTTACAATTCAGAAATGCATCATATCTGATACACACTTGAAGCAAAACCCATCAATGCATGGCTCTGATAGAATATTGTATTTCTGCCTACCAGCAGATTATAGTTGAAGTGATCAGCAAATATGACAGAGATGTATTATTTTCTACACTATCGTGAATATGCTGCACACTTTTAATACGCTAGATAACTTAATACCCATGTTCCACAAATATTGCTGGTATAATTTCCACCAGGATGACAGTTTTAATTAAACATTCAACGCGCCGGTGCACAGTTTTAATGGTTAATATGCCCAAGTCTGACCTGAGAAATGGTTGTCTGTGTAGTTGCCGACAGGAAGGCTACATAGGATAACCATCAGAAGATGATTACTTAATTTCATGAGAATATAATGCGTGTTTGCCTTAATGTGATATGTTTTATGTATGTGCTCCTTTTTGCCCTCCTCTTTGAAGTATAATCACTGTGCTGCATTTAATCAAATGTGAAACGTTTTTTTATTATTTTTTTCTGTGCTCCAGTGCTAAGATTGTATAACTACTACTTCAGAATCTTGAAACATGATTTTCTTCAAGCAGTACTGCTATAAGCACTTGTTATAACTATTTGTATTTTAAAACACTCTATAGAATAACTCAAGCTTTGTGTTTAAATTCTCAATTGTTGTTTCTTTGTAAATTTATTCTCAGTGATGTAGAACAGAGTCCCCGCCCCTTCTAATAAAAAATAGCAGCCATATTTAACTTAACCAATTTCTTATTAAAAGAAATTGGGGACAATTTCTTTCTAATTTCCTGCTTTGAGAGCATATTAGATTTCTAGGATAGTGTGAAATATATATGGCTCAATTTAAAATAAGTTCTTCCTTTACATGAAAACCATATGCTATTGTATATTATACCTACTCCCATCACATAGTAGCAAATTACTTCTTGGATGTTTTGTCATGCTGCTTTTAAAACTCTCACACAAGTAGCAAGGTGTTATCTCATTTATTTTAAAGTAATTCTGATTATTGATCATCTTTGGACCAAAAAGTTACAACTTAGCATATTTGACACTAGTGTCTCACCAAATATGATAATATTCCTACTTTAACCCCCCTCAATCATATAATGGTTTGTACCTTGCTATTGAAAGCCATGCCTACACCTGCAGGTCTGAAGAATTGCCAGAGCATGTATGCAAAAGGCAGTGAGATAAGACACAACATTTTTAGCATGACTCACTGATAACAAAAGAGCTTCAATTAATTTTGGATTAAACTTGTATCAATTTGTAGAGAGGGAATACTAAAAATATAGAATGGTAGTGCTAAAAAGGAATAATGTAATCTTTGTTAAGTCAAATAAAAAACCTTTGTCTGCTTGACAATATCCAATTTTATTACCTCATACATGCACAGTTTTCACTATTTTTTATGACAACAATGACATTTGTATGATAATAACTAAATAGAAATCTTTTTAATATGTTACAATAATTTTTGCCAGATTGAACAGATTACTATTGCGTTATCTATCAATAACCTCATACTTGTACTGATGGTGTGCCATTGTTCTCCAATCTCAGCTCAATTGTCAAGTGCAATTACGTTTTAACAAATAGACTTTATCTTTAAATTTTGTTGGCTTTCTCTCCTCTTTATGGTACCCCTGATACGATCTCAGCTGTGCCAAGACCCACTGTGGTTACATTTTGAAAAGATTTATCTAACGTTTTTTTTTTACTTAAATTTGTAAAGGTGAAAGTGATGTTAAGGATATGTCCAAGTCCACACCATTATGAAGGAGGATCGTTTTTATCCTTAGATCCTAAGAAGAAACAAGTTACGATATACGATCCGGCGTTTCTTAATAATGGTTACATGACACCAGCACACCGAAGAGCAGGAGTTATGGCTCCCAAAATGTTTGCATTTGATGCAATATTTTCACAGGATGCAGCACAGGTATGTTCAGTTCAAGCTTTTAAAATCAATGTACTTATTGATTAAAATGGAGTGGATCTGAATTAAATGTGTTTGTTTTCTTTATTTATGAAATAAATACTACAAAAACACTGTTTGGAAAATTGGTGTTTTCATCCTATGATTGTAAAGTTAAAAATATTATCCATTAAATTTGAAAGGAAATATATTGTATGTGAAAAAAAGGGGGGGGGTTCCCTATTTGAATTTAAATTGCTAGATACTTGTAAATAGACTTGTCAGTTATTATTTTGTTCTCTCTTGTTAGGCTGAAATATGCGCTGGCAGTGTTGCAGATATTGTCCAATCAGTGGTGAATGGTGCTGACGGTTGTCTATTCTGTTATGGACATGCACGTCTAGGTACGAATCATTTATTAATTCAGAGCATGCTTTTTATAACAAATCCCATCTTTCATTGCAGAATGTCAAACATAAAAAGGAATGTCACGTAATTTCTGATGTTAGAGCTTGTTTGCTTTCAATGGGTGCAGTAATAAGAAAAATATAATGTGTGCGTGTCTTTGAAAACCATTGAATCGTCTTTTCAGTGAATCGTAGTACTCAACATCAGGCAGTGAATCGATTCAACTAGGATGTTGGATGCTGAGATAGTTAGCCATATAAATAGTACTTAATGTTTAAAGATACACACCCTCAAATTGCTATTCACAAGCATACAAGATGACGAAGAAAGGTGCATTAGCTCACTGGACTGCAGTTGGTAATATGAATGATGTGCAGTCTTGTGGAAGAAATGGAATCAATGTGTCAGTTTTCCATTAATGCATTCAAGCACAAGCTGAAGTCATCTGCATGCAGTGCGGCAGTCGGGCAGGCAGCCTGGCGTCTTTAAAATTCTGACTGTTGAACTTCTCATGATTACACATAAGTACATGAGATGTGTGCGATTGATACTCAAAGGCATATCAAGAAAGTTGATGCAAATTTCAACTAACTTTGACAGCTTCTTTTCTGCCCTATGAGTAGTAGCATTAGCAGTAATACACAACCTCAATAGTGTCAATATGACCCTTGTTCCTTCTGTCAGATGTTGAGATTTGTGTGAGATGTCACGCCATTTTAATCAGTCACAATTTCCATTCACTGTAACGTTAATTTACTTCTGAGATTCACCTTTGTATATTATTAAAAAATTTTGAATGTGATGTTTCAGGCAAAACATATACTATGATTGGTAAAGATGATCATCCACAAAATCTTGGAATCATACCATGTGCCATCTCCTGGCTCTTCAAACTTATCAATGACAGAAAAGAAAGAAGTGGTGCTAGATTCTCTGTGCGTGTCTCAGCTGTTGAAGTTGTCGGCAAGTCAGAGAACCTTAAAGATTTATTGGCTGAGCAAGCAATGGGTAAGCTAATGCCAGTGATATTTAAGCCATCTGTTGTGATCTAGCCCATCTGAATACAGTGATCAGGGCATGATTTTATTTGTCTACTTTTATATCTTGACATTTGCCCCTAACAATGGCCAATTCCCCAAACCCCCAGTAGAGCCAGCATCAGTTTTCCTAATGAGACTCTCTTTTTGAAATCACTTGACTTTGCCATGGGTCAGTGCTTCATCACTGAATGTCTAAGTTGAAATGGTGCATTATGAATTCTTAAAGTGTTCTCCAGATTATTCCCACCGATACAGACATATAAAGTCTTAGTCACCGGCCTTACAAGAAATCTGTTCTATAAAGTTGAACTGTTCATTGAATCATGAGAGTGCTGCCATATTTTCTACCAAATCATTCTAAGTATGTTTACTTTTCTTTCACAAGGGAATCTGGAAGAGTCATTTGTCTTCTTTGACTCATACTCATTAGGGTATCATTATGATTGTTGTCGATAAGCAGAAGTAGATTTATTGAGGCCACTCAAGTAAAGTGGGCTCAAGCTCTTATTTTTTTTATTTATATAAACATCAAATTGATTCATAAATAAAAAAGAACTGTGTGGAAATAATTAGATATCATTTCTTGCAATTGATGGACTGAGCTCAATTCACCATGGATTTTGTTTCATTTTTATGATTTTTTTTTATTAAAATTGATTCTCACACAATTAATGTTATTAATGTTATATTGATTTTTCTTTCTTTACTTAAAATCGCAACAGGAAGTGCCAATGGGGTTGGGACCTCCCCTGGTATCTACCTTAGAGACGATCCAATTTGTGGTGTTCAGCTACATAATCAAAGTGAATTGCGTGCACCAACACCAGAGAAAGCTGCCTTTTACCTTGATGCTGCCTTAGCTGCCCGGTGTCAGCCAATGTCAGGTAAAAGCACTTTTTAAATACATGTGTTCAGTGAAACCTGCTTAAATGGAACATGAAAGTAAAAATTGTTTAAAATTTGTACTGTATAAAGCTTGTGAATTATTTTGCTGATAGTCAAATGCACTAAATTAAAACCCAGTTAATAACAAAATGTATTGTTTTCTAAAAGCTAGTAAATCCAACATCAAATTTGCTAATATTAAACCCAGTGAATATTTTCCCCTCAGCAGTATTCATATTTTGTAATGCTTTTGGTTTTGATATGGTCTATTCACAAAGGGTTCAGTTTATATAGGTTTCACTTTAGTGGCAATGATTTAATCAATTCTGCTGAAAATTAAATTTAAAACTTGTACATTTTTATTTCAAGAATAAAAACAAAATAATCATCTTTTTCAACTGTGAGGGCAGCATTCATCGTATGTGCAAACTTTCAAGTAAATGTTGACTTAACATGAAGCTGGATTCATTGTCTGTATGAGAGAAACTATTGTAACTACTCTACTTGATTTATTAATTCACAATTGTGCTTGTACCTAGATGGTGATCCTGATGAAGATGCCAAGACTTCCCACATGTTGTTTACATTACATATCTACCAGTATAGAGTGGACAAATCCGGAAAGGGTGGTGTGGCTGGCGGTAGGAGTAGGCTGCATCTCATTGACCTGGGCAGTTGTGGGAAATTAGGCAAGACAAACAGTACTGGATCAAGTCTGTCTTTATCAGCACTGGGCAATGTTATATTGGCTTTAGTCAATGGAGCTAAACATATACCATTTAAGTAAGTGTTTGATAAATTTGAATTTAAGAATTATACATTTATACTTCTTTTATAACAAGTTTTATGAATTATTATTTTAATGTATTTATATGCAAATGTGAATCCATTTTAACATTCACATATTCATTGATTGTTCTGCTAATCAATAAAAATTGACTATTTGTTCACAGGGAGAGTAAATTGACACAGTTGTTACGAGATTCCTTGGGAAATTTATCATGCAGAACAACCATGATTGCACATGTGTCAGCTGGGATGTCATTTTATTCAGAGGCATTATCAACAGTACAGATGGCATCCCGAATTCATAGAATGAGGAAGAAAAAATCAAAGGTGAGTTTCTGTTTATTTCAAATGAGCAATTCAAAACAAATATCAATATTACCACCAAAATATTTGAAAACTATGCATACAAATATCCAAGGGAAAATATGCATTTCAAGAAAAGTATTTATATTTTTTTTTATTTTTTTTTTATTTCAGTATTCAAGCACTAGTTCCTCTGGAGGTGACAGTTCTTGTGATGAAGGTCGTATTCGTCATCCACGTATCCGAGCCCTACATCCTAGGAATCCTCCCATGCTTGTCCCCGAAGATGCCACAGTGACAGATGCTTTACATTACAGTGATAATGAGTACATATCTAGCAGTGAACAGTCCTGTGATACAGTGATTTATTGTGGGCCTAATGGAGCTGCATTAAGTGATAGAGAACTTACAGATAATGAAGGACCTCCAGCAGTTGTTCCAATTGTCCGGTCACCAGTGTCCAAAGTACCAGCTTTCAACAGAACACATGCTCGGTCGGCAGGTAACTCCCCTGAGATCAGGAGGAAGAATTCAGGTGCAAGGGGATCTGATGGAGAGTCTGGGAAGAAGCAACTTGGTTGTAGGAGTGCTGAGAACAGCCCTGAGATCAGAAGAAAGAACACAGCACCTGTTCCGCCACCTCCACCAGATGCACCAGTCCTATGTGAGTTTGGTCCTGAGACAGCTCGCAAAGTAGACACACCTCCTGGTGGACTTCCTCGGATGATGTTTTGCGAATTTGGCCCAGAAACTGCCAGGAAAGGTGACAGTGTCAATACTGAAGAAAACTTACCATTTGTGTGTGACTTTGGTCCACAAACAGCCAGAAGATTAGATAGTATGAATTGTACAGCAGCTGAAAACCGGAGAATACTGTGTGAATTTGGTCCAGAAACTGCCCGAAGGATGGAGTTTGAAAAGAATGTGAATACTAAGAATTATTCAAATCTACCAAGAATGAAAGAACAAAAGAACAAACAGGTCGACAAAAAAACAACTGGAATACCAACACCTGTTCATTCTCTTTTACCTACTCCCAAAGCAAGGAATAGCCCTTCTACCTCACCTGAAAGGTCACATTCACCTGCTCGTGGAAAATCTGCTGCCAAATCAATAAAAACAACACAGTCTAAAAGTACAACTGACAAACAGAGTTACATTCCCACATCAAAAATGTCATCAACAAAACAGAGGGGTCCACCCCCAGTCAAACCCAAACCCTTAGTAAAAACTGGAAATCTACCAAATAAGTTTGAAAGGACAGAACCTCAAGGAGGAACATTTGAGGATATTACAGTAATAGACTGTGCCAAATTGAATATGAATGAAGCTCTCTGTCAGAAACTGGCATCCATGAAGAACGAATCTATTTATGACACTTCAAGTATTAGTGAGGTATCATCTGTTCATTCTGAGTGTTACAGAGATTTTGAAAATGAACTGGAGGAAAGGACAGAGCCAGCTGGAATGAGTGCAACAAATGAACAAATTAATGTTAAGGAATGTTACTTTGTGCCAATACCTAGAAATGAAGCTCAGGATCAATCAGGTTTATTTGAACAATACATGAGTGATAGACCTGAAGTTGGCTGTAGGCCTGAATTTGATGTTCTTGATAACCAGCCAAACGTCAAACTGTATGGGGATTCAACAATGTCACTTGAAGTCAATGCACCAGATGTGTCGGATAAACAAATAGACAATCTTGATGATGATTATGATATCAACGATGAAGAAATTGAAATGTGTATGTGGCAGGCTGAAAACAACGGAGAACTTTCAACGTCAAATGTACTCCCATTCTCGCAGTTTGGGAACTCTGTGGAGATTATTGGAACTGAGACTGATGCAGAAGACCAAATAAGTCCCTCAGAAGCACCAATGGTGGACTTGCTCACCAAAACGCTTGACCAAATGATGGCTAACAATAACATGACAGATTTCACATCGTCTGAGTTACCACTTAGTCCAGAGAGTGACATAACAGATACGGCCAGTTATCGTTTTGAAGATAATGCACAGTCTGTGTCACATGCATCATTTGATGATGAAGATGACACAGAGTCCATTGGACCCAGTTTAATTCCTGATGAACCTTCATCTAGCATGTATTTATCTGTTAACATGTTTAAAAAACAACTGTGGGATAGATGCAATCCTGATGCTTTAGATCAAGAGGATGCGGATGATGCCCAACTAGACAGAAGTGATAGTGATGATGATCATCCTTTGAGGCCTTTGAGTATGCTCAGTGTGGACAGTGATAACACATTCACCACATCGGGTAGGTACTCCAGACCCGATAGTTTAATGAGTGCTAATGACCAATACAAGATATTCACTGGGGAGGAGAGAAATCAGAGGTGTAAACCTGTGTGTATAACTCGCGAGCCTGAAACCATTCTCAATTCTGTTGTGCCTGTGAAAAATGAACAAATCAAAGAGACTTGTGAAGTAGTGAAGGATACAAGTGATGAAAAAACGAATTACCAAGAGCGACGAAGAATATCTGAAAGTATATGGAAGCGGAGGGAAAGCTACACAGAAGAAGAGTTACAAAGGTTAGGTATTAACGAACTAGATGATATGTCAGATGACCAGTCATCACCCCAGCCTCAATCCCCAATGAATGGATACAATACCACTGATAGTGGTATACCTACTCTTCGGAGTCTAATCAGTAAAGGAGGCGTCACTAAACCAGCTGCTTGTGTCAGAGATAACTGCATTCCAGGCAGCTTTAAATTTGCTAGTCCACCAACAAGTCCTTCTAAAAGGTATCTCTCTACAACACAAGATGGGGTTATTTCCGTCCATCCTAAAATTGCCCCTCAGACAACCAGTGAGATTTTGAGTGGAGATGAAGGAAGTACAACGTCTAATACACGGGAACCGATGCCAGATCTATTGATGGGGTCGCCAAAGAGAGACCCGTCACCATCCAAAATGCAGTTGATACCGATGGTTGAAAAGACATCAATGCAGCAGTCTGTATGGAGAAAGGAAACAAGACTGTGGCATGTAGAAGGGAAATCAGACCCAGACATTAGTGACATGAAAGATGATGTATTAGTTCCTCCCCTCATTCCCACTACTATTGGCATGGTAGCTCCACCAAAGTATTCACCTATTCTCTCTGATTCGGAGGAGCCTCCATGCTGGTTGTCACGACAGCCAGATGGTGCCTGTGATCCACCAGAAGTTGTCAAGGAAACCACGCTATCACCTATGTGCAATAAAAAATTCAGTCATGTTGTAAGAAGAAAGGACTTAAATGGCAAGCCAGATGGATATGCATCCGATTCATGTTGTAGGCTAATGAAAACTCCCCAGTCTCCAACAAGAACAATTTCTCCATCATATTCTGTATGCAGCTGTTGCTCAAATAGAGAAGATATTAATGGAAACATTCAGGAAATACATCGTCTTGCTGCAAAGTGGGAAAAAACTTACAATTCCTCTCGTAAAATGCCAACGGCAAAGACAGCTTTGACATCAAAAAACATCAAACCAGTTGTTCCCCCTAAACCAGGTGGTGGCAGTAATAGACCCAATGTTTCTCCTAAACCAAAACCCAGTGTAAAACCAAAGACACACTCTAAACATAATACTCCACCAGGTCACCAATCCTTAGCTGATGTTGTGCACAAATTGCCGCCAAGAAGGCATAATTTAGAAACCTCAAGTCTAAGGTCTGCATCAAGTGCCAGTAGTCGAACAAGTTCCAAACTACCAATCAGATCAGCTAGTACTACTGCTGTTAATCTTCTCTCAAATGCAGGAAGCTCAAAATTGAAGAACTCTAAACTGCCACCACCATCTTCCAAACTGACTAAGAACTCTTCCACTACCTCAAGCAAATCATCTATGCAGTCAGTTCGAAGTGTAGCATCTAGTAAATCCAATATGACAAACAAGTCTCAGACCAGTTCAATTAAGACTATGCAAAATGCTAGTAGTAAGACCAGTAAAACAACAAGTAGTGGGAAGTCCAGTACAGGAACTAGTAAAATACCCCAGAGTACAGCAAGTAAATCCAGTAACAGTTTATCAAGTAGTAGCAAAGCAGTCAGTAAATCTGCTCCATCTCTTGCCAAAAGTTCTAGTGCCAAATTACAGCAGAGTAGCAACATTAAAGCCAACAAAAGTGTCTTAGAAAGTAGTGCTCTCAGTGCCAACAAATCCAACCAATCAATTCGGCATACGGATTCTGACAGTGGCAATGATAGCGGCATAGCTGGTGCTGAAAGTACACCAAGCAAAAACAAATCAAGACTGTTGTCGCCATATTCTACAGTCACCAAGCCACGTATGGCAAGTCGTTGTAGCAGTGGACATGGTAGTGATAATAGTAGTACAATCAGTGACACTTTAGGATTTACTGCAAGTAAGATAGCATCTCCATGCACAGGTGGCACCAGTAGTGGTTATGAAAGTATGCTTAGAGACAGTGAAGCAACTGCCAGCACTTCATCAACGCATGATTCATTGAGTGAAAGCTCAGCTGGAAGAGTGAAAGGAGTGAAAATGCTGAAAAAGAAACTTTCTCAAGGTATTAATTTATTTGTTGGATTCAGTTCCTCACTTGATCAATAGATTTTCTGACTAGAGCTCTACTCCTCTATTGAAAGTACATTCATCATTGTGAATACTGATGTTGAATCTGTCTCATATAAAATCAGTGTTGTGTGTATAATGTATCTGAACAGATGTGGATTTTTGATGTTTAAACTAATTCACTTTCACCATAGAAATATGTTAAAAATTCCAGTATCATTGTACATTATAGATATTTATACATTATTGACACTTCTGCCCATTTAGGTAGTAGAAGTCGCCGCAGTGGTCCTCCAAGACCGACAGATAGTCCATCTGCTGTACGAAAGACCAGCCCAGGCAGGTGGTTGGATATTAGACCCAAATCACCAAAATCAGAGCCAGTAGAACTAAAAGTATATGAAGTAGATGAAGTACCTAGGCGGCGAAATGAGGATGGAGAGGTAGGTTTACATCACTTGTATATTATCCACTCAGTGTGCACTTGTATACGTGTATCTTTTTGTAGTATTGCTGTTGATCATAGAACCATTCTTTTCTTTTTCTTTCTTTTCTCATCTCCATCTTCATTTTCTTTTCACCTCTTTGTAATTTTCTTTGTGTACTAAGTGTAATATTTTTATTTTGCAGCGAGTGCGGAAACTCTGATAGTAAATGTGAATCCAAGTAGTATTTTCAAACCTAGTACTGGAAACATTTCTACAGTTTTGTAAATGTAGGTTTTGTAAACGGTGTCAAGACTCTTCCGTGTTATGGCATTGCTTGCATGACCTCCCCCCCCCCCCCTTCCCAATTTTGACACCAAATTCTGATTACTGACACTAGTTTTGGTACTAAAAAGGCTGTTTCAAAATATAATTATGATAACAATGCTTGTTCAAAGAATGCTATCGAGGAATATCTAATACTTGGCTGTTCCAACCTTGCTAATACATGTAAAAATGATCAATTTCATAGCGAAAACGTTCTTTGGTGCAGCCTTTTTTTTCATGTACCTTTCTATCTACTAAGCTTCATACTGCTACTATAATATTGCTTCTCTCTTTACTTGCTGCTTACCATTAATAGAAGAGTTCTGATATGAGCTCTGAGGATGATGATGAGGAGGAGGAGATGGAGGATGAGTATTTTGAGGATGAGGAGGGTAATGATGTTGATGATGAGGATGATGAAATTCAGTGTGATGATGAGGAAGAGGTGGGTTTCATGTCATCACCACTTGCATATGTTGCTGTATGTGTATATCCGCTGCCTGATTGTCTCACCTTACCTAATTGACGTGTATTTTCCTAGCATGAATTTGAATACATCGTTACATTATACACTCACAATTATCACTCAAAACCGTACAGTAAATGGTGTCATATACAATTATATTGAATTGGAAATCTGTACTACCTTGTAAAATTGTCTTCATCTGTGCAGTTGTCTTATTCTTTTCTATGGTCTGTGTGCATGTAGTGAGTTATAATTGGTTCTATGTAAAGTTATTTAATGTTCATATTTATCGACTAATGTTTTTTTTGTTTATTTTTCCCCTTTGACACACTTATGTTCAGATACTCAGAGAAAAGTTCACTACTATTGTTAACATTCTACCACAGTAGCAAGCTTGGTGTTGATTGAAATGAACTATTCTAAAATCTAGCTGTTATACCTAGAAAATTGAAAACTTTTTTCGTCAGTCATGTTAAAATGGCTACATTGTATTTTCATTTTGATATTAATTAAAACTGGTATCTGGTCATAACAAAACTTGGTTCCAATTATGTTAAAGAAGGACGCTACCAACAATAATTTATGACACATGGCACTATTAAATTGTGTGAAGCTAGCCTTTAGATTTTAACTAAATATGTTTGTCTAAAATACATAATGATATACGCTGTAATAATATAAACAATTTTCAACCAGCTTGATGATCAGCAAAGTAATAATGTATAAGTATTCTGAACAGTGCCATTTAAATATGTTGCTGTGCTTTCTGCCTTAACATGCTTGTTGTTCTCACTCCTTTTTACTCCAATGTGCTCCAATGAGAAGATTACATAGGCTGCTCCACTGCATTGAAAACACTGTGTAGACATACTGGTACACTGTTGTTGCCTTTAAATGCATGGTACACACAGATACACTGTTCTTGATGTTAGCACATTTGTATTGCATTTTTTTTAAATGTAAAATTTAAATTCATTACAGAATATGGCATACTTCAATGCAAAATTGGTAGCAATTGAGCGAAGACAAGAAACAGTAGCAACTTTGAGATATAAACAACAACAGTTAAAAGAAGAATTGTCAGCTACCAAAGCTAAATTGATGGTGGACTCTTCTCAATGGAACTTTAATTGTAAGTGTGTATTATTAAATTGAACACATTTCATCTTACCGGTAATTAAATGAGTAATTTCAGTTTCACTTACTAAGCAGTACATACAATGGGAAAGGAATGTCACCGCTGAACTACTGAAAGTAGTATGGTAATTGAAATGTATTAGGATTATTATGCGACATATGTCCAAAACATTCAAATTTTGGTTGTTGAGGCTTTTGATTTGATTTGATTTGCTTTTGAAGCATATTGATTCACGAAAGCTCATAAAAATATGTCATATAATATCGTATTTGCCTTATCAGCATACATATGGTCTTCTGTAAATTACGTCTATGGTCAAATAAGTCATATTTGAATGATATAATCCAGTACAAAATAATTGCAATTTTTAGTTTATATGTACTTCTATTAGAAATATGCATCTGATATAGAAAATGATAGTATTTTAATATTAGTAGCGCATGTGTTTAGATAAATGACAGAAGAGTTTATGGTCATACAATAAATGTACTTGTGCTTTGGAATTGCACTTCTAATAGAGCCAATACAGTATATAATTCAATTGTAAGATTTACTCAAGTTTCATGCCAGCACTTTTATATTGTCTATTCTTGTTCTTGTTGCAGTAAATGTATTTGAAGACATTGACTCTGATACACCAAATTTTGTGGAATCTTTTCAAGAGGAAACTGATCAGCTGGAACAACGATTGGCTGTTTGTAAATCACACGTGATGATGGTTACTTGTTTTGATGTTAATCAACACTAAGTGATGCAACACACACTCAACCAAGAGGGCGCTTTTTGGTGAATGTTGTTGATAGTGCTGTCTAAATGTGAATTATGTATTTGTACATGACTGTATATTGTCGGGATAACTAATTATAAATTGCTTGAATTGGAAACAGACATTGACCATGGCCAGGGTATCTCAAATTATTGTAAGTTTGTCAAGTAAATAATCTTACAAATTTGTATATAACAGTTTTTTTAGTGTTCAGTATCAATTGTGTATAAAAACTTTTCAAAGTCCTGTGTGTGTAAAAACCTATAGCGTTAGCTCTTAACCATATCACAATTATGTTTGTTGTACAGAGACAGTATTACATTACTATTGTAATTATTTTATGTAGATTTTTTTTTTTGGTCAATGATCACTGCCCATGTTATGTTTTATCTTAAAAAAAAAACAATGGCAGACCAAGCTATCAGGGTATTTTTCTGCACAGTTTAAAAACTGTGCCAGTACATGTTTTTTTACTGACCAAAGTACCATGACTTTTTGTAAGTTATTTGTACCTCATATAATAGATGTTGCAATCACAGCATTCTTAGCCATTCAGCATACAGTTAGAGCCAAGTTTTTTTGTATTAACAAGCAACATACCTCATGTGCTAATGGAGGCTTCCACTGAAATTTTAAGTTATTTAAAAAAACAAAAACAATTACAATTTTTTTGATAACTTTTATAAGACCATCATGTACTAATTTTTATAAACAATAGAACCCAACAGCACAAGCTCAGTTTGATACATCAACTTTTATAAGTTCCTGGAATGAGTTTTATACTAAACAAGATGTTTTGTATTTGCAATAACAAATCAATTGGATCTATAATACAGAAGCCACCATTTCTACAAATTTTGTAAGAATTTTCTAACAATTTATGAAATGATAGCCCTCATCTTTCTTGAGTTCTGACTACAAATACAGCATTATTATAATTTCTATACATAATTGTCAGGGTCACCATTGCTTGTAAGAAATATTAGAACAGAGCTTTATTAGAGTTTTAAACTTAATTTGTACATTATTAAATTGAAATGTTTATGTTAATTTTCTTGTTATATAAGTGAGCCAGCCATATGACAATACTATATTTAATATTGTGCAAGCTCTGAATGTTCACGTTCATTATAGCTGCCCACACTGTTTTGTTGGCATTTCAGTCATTTACTGTGTTCTTAACTTGTGCTTGTAGTGAAAGAAAGCACACGTTCCCACTGTTCGTTTTAGAGCACAATTATCTAATAAAGTGGAATTATTATATATGACAGTGATTTTTTTTTTTCAATCTATTAATAAAAGCCCTACCTACATTAATGTCATGCTTTCCATACCCTGTACAAAACATGTTCCAGTTCTAGTGAACTGAATCCCAACATTTAAGGTAGCGAGACTATTATTTGTGTTGAAAATTACGATTTTCACATTTATTTATTAATTGATGAAATGCACTATAAACTTTCATCTGATAAAGTCAATGTAACCTAGAATGTCATGTAAGTTGGTTAAAATGTAGATTTTCTGAAGGGAAGCAAGGCAGCCTCAGTAGTGTTTTCCAAAATCAACAACACAGGTTTAATCTGTGTGACTATAAGTTTCAAAGATAAACTCAAGACAAAGCAATGTTAGGATGTGTTATCAGTAGCTATCTGACACACAATTAGTGTTTCCAAACATTTGAGTGGTTTGTCTCCGCCCCTATTTGTTTCACAGATTAGTCATTTGCATATGAATGTGTCAGACACAAGGTCACACAGCCACTAAAAAAATCATTGATTTTGGTGTTTTCATATGCCGAATTT